TTATTAATGTGGTTGCTCCTGTGTTGAGTGCATATATATTTAGGATAGTCAGCTCTTCTTGTTGAATTGAACCTCTTTAATGTCCTTTTTTGTCTTATTTGATCTTTGTTAGTTTAAAGTCTGTTATGTCAGAAACTAGGATTGCAACCTTTGCTTTTTTCCGCTTTTCATTTGCGTGCTAGATTTTCCTCCATCACTTTATTTTGAACCTATGTATGTCATTGCAAGTGAGATGGAGCTCTTGAAGACAGCATACCAATGGGTTTTGGTTCTTTATCCAGGTTGCCACTCTGTGATTTTTTACTGGGGCATTTAACTCATTTACATTTAAGGTTAGTATTGATATGTGTAGATTTAATCTTCTCATCATGTTAGCTAGTTATATTGCAGACTTATTTATGTCATTGCTTTATAATGTTACTGGTTTGTGTATTTTAGTGTATTTTTATAGTGACTGGTAATTGTCTTTCCTTTCCATATTTAGTGCTTTCTTCAGAAGCTCTGGTGGTAACAAATTATCTCAATATTTACTTCACTGAAAAGAATCTCTGAATCATTTTGGACATTGTTTTCCTGAATTAAATTGTAACCAATAGACATAATTATGTGGTTTTTTTTCTAGTCACTTTTGTTCATAAATTTGCATGTGTGGAATAGGTGATTTGTTTAATTTGAATTTTAGTTTTGCTAATAAGTAAGACAAAACACAGATGATCAAGGGTCAATGTTATATTTATTAAATATTAAGAATCCAAGACTTCATGGTGATCTTATCCAAGATATCATTTCTTTACATTTGCCCGACACACACACACATAAACTTTCTGCTTACCAGGGAGATTTTATCACCTTATTGAAAGATTCAGTGATGCAGTAGCTTTCTAAATGATGGCCTACCTTATATGTCTCAATGTGCCCCTAGTTGATATTAATTTATTCTACACATTGCCAACAGATTAATCTTTATGATACCCTATTTCACAAATAATATATTTTGTAATTAAAAAACCATGCATGTCTCTTTTGTGAGAAATCACAAAATAACGTAAAAGCTTTGTTTATTACTCTTAACCTTAGAGAAAACCAGTTAACCTCCTTTTTGCATTTTTTTCTGATAATGTTGTGAAAATTATTATATTTCAGTGACAGAAAATATTTTAATACTCTTTAAGTAGTGATAACTGTTAGTTAACAATCACAAAATATTTATTTTATATTGCCCAACTAAAATATTTTAACCATTTTATGGTTTAATATTTTTGAAAATATTTGTAATTTTTTGTAGTTAAATCCCTTTATTAGATTCCATTTTTATTTCCCAAAGATCCACATAAACTATTGATGAGAAATAGATGTATTTCTCTAGTAATGACTCATGCCTAAGCTTGAAATTTATATATTTTACCTGGTTTTACTTCCTGCTTGATTTTTCACTTGGATATTGAACAGGAAATTCAAGCATAATGTCTCCAAATATCTTGTTTCAACTCTACCATGTCCCTGTCACAACCTACTCCCCCTGTCTTTTGTATTGCAGTAAAGTGTACCATTATTCACCTAGATGTTCATTCTCAAACATGATATTTGATTTTACTCTGTCTACTTCACCAATACATCATCAAATACTGTCTGTTCTACTTTCATACAGCCTCAACAATACAATCTCCTGTTTCACAGAGTTCTACTCAATTCCTTATCTGGAGTTACGCTTTTAAATATCAAACCCTCTTACAGCTTCTCATCTCCTTTACAAAGAAGTTTAAGCTCCTACAATGCCCTGTACAAACTGTCTTCTCATGACCTTTCCAAATTAATCTCTCATTTATCTTCCCATTATCACACACTTCATGTTAGATAGGCTTGCTACTTTTCACTCCTTAAGCATGTTAAGCCAGTTCTGCCTTACCTAGGAACTTTATTCTTACATTTTTTTCACCAGACGAATGTTTCCCTCAGATCTTATCACAGTATCACATCAGTATTTTTCAAGTGGTACTTCCTGAGAGATGTCATTAGTAACTTCCCTCTGTAAAATAGTCATCAACCTTGTGAGCCTCTCTCACTTCCTTCTGCCTTTTGTCCCTTCCTTTTTTTCTAATCCACACTTAACCAAAAGATCTCATATTTCTGACTAGATGTACAGATTTATTATCTCATCTTCAATTTAACACACCCACACCCATCCCCCCACTCACACACACACTTTATTGTAATTACTTCTATTGATTTCTAGCCTCTCCATCTCATAACTTTGTGACTATGGGAAGATCTGTTTTCTTGTTCACTATTCTATCATCAGTGCCTAAATAGAATTCTTCTTAATATGATAACTGTTTCATAAATATTGTTTGAAAGAAAGAAGAAAATATGAAGTGAGAGAAGAATGGAAGGGAAAAAAGAAGAAAGGCATTGCAAAATCTGAATCCCAAGGTATGATAATTTTTGAAATGCCACGTAATTTTAATATCCTTCTTTGACAAATCTGGAACAACAAAAAAGATGTCTTATTTGCTCAGTTGTCATAGGAAGTGTTATGCAAAAGGGAGTATCATAGTAAGGAAAATGCCATTCAGTGAGGCATCTGGAAATTTGTATGAGCATTTTGTTGTCACATGTGGATGGCATTGAATGTATATGGATGAGGACTGTTAGATATTCTGCACTGTGCAAAAATAGACCTTTGTCATGTACATATTTTTAATGATCTGATATGTATTTATATATGATAAAACCTAGAACTAATATTTTGTATATAAATAAAATGTTTCTGGAACCACATTTTGCATGCATATACTTTTCTAGCAATATTAAAACTATATAGATACAGAAAATAGTTTTTTATGTGGAGGCATATAATAAAAAACTGTTCAGTATTTCCCCCCAAACTTGTATCAGCAAAGGCAATGCCACTCTTGATATTCACCTACCACTATCAGTGGCAATTGTCTGTTTAATATGATGCAAAGGCTTATGTCTTCTCCCAAAGGTGTGATTATTAAAGGACATATTATTTTTTAACTTAAATTTGCTTTTATGTTTCCTAATACAGTTAGGGCATTATATATTTTTTTTTAACTGCCTATGAAGTTGGGTTACAGTTCCTCTGTTTATCTTTGCATGATAACAAATTCACTACAATATATGAGAAGTTGGTTTGAAATGATTGAGAATGAATGGTCTAACATTTAGCTTGTTCATATATGTATTTTATTCCTATTTTCATCAGCAACATCTAATATCACTACTACTTTGCACAGTGAAATATGATAATAACAACTAACTGCTGTCTTTTTCTAAGGGTCTTCTGCTAATCACTTTATGTTTATTATTCCATTAATCCTCTCAAGACCTGTATAAGGTATTGAAGAAAGTGAAGTTGAAAGAAATGATGTCTTATGCAAATATCACAAAGCTAGTAATCATAAGATATGACTTGATCTCTTGTCGGTGTCCTTCTTTTCAGACATGGACTTTGTATTTTTATGCTCCATAGCACATTCTAAAAGGTATTATGCACAGTTATTCCAAAAAAAAATCACTCAAATTTCCTTTCATGGATAAAAGTGGGAGCATGGGCAATGTTACGACTCAGACTGAGACAACACCTCAAAGCCATTATAAGTGGAGGCTTCTTCATGTTCCAGTTCTTGGAGATATTTGGTTTGGGTCACCTGTTTTCTCTGCTGGCATACCCTTGAGTGCCTCTATGGCAGTTGTTCCTACCATGGTTTCACCAGAGAGTAAGTCCTGTGTCATATGTTTCATACAGAAGATGTTCACAACATATGTAATATTTTTGATAATAGTAAACCCCAATAAAGAAAGAAAACTCTGTTAAACGGTATATTGCTTACTTAATGTGAACTATTTCAATCTGTATGTAAAATTCAAATAATTCAGTAACCGAGTCATTCTTTAAATTAAGCCATCAATTAAAATCGTTTTTCAATGGAAAGGAATCCTAGTTTGAATTAAATATGTGACATAATGTCAAGACAATGTTTAAATTCTTTGAATAAAAGAATTGTAAACTCACACTGAATTTGGAATTTGATTTTCAAAACTGATTCAAAACTACTATTACCTACTTGTAGCTAAGCATTTTAAATAGTTTCAAATATTATTTTAAAAAATCAGACTAGGTATCTAAATTATAAATTTAAAATTATTATGTTCAAAATATCAATGAAAAGAAACTGATTTTGTATTAGTTAGATATTTGCTAACATTTAAAAAATATACAACTGCATTTCTTCAGGTAAAACAGGAAAATTCAATCCCTAATTTTTATCAATCTTTTGATTTGAAAATGTGACAGTAATTGTAAATCTTGTTAACATGATTTCCCCATGTTCTGGCAAATATTTGAGCCTATATTTAAACAGCCAACACTCATTATCTGTTACTCTGGTTTCCTTTTCATTTTGGGGAATATGTTCTTTTTTCTTGTGTTGCAGGATCATCCTAACTAATAGGTTTATATTACCAAGTATGAAGAAGGTGACTACATAGACAATGCTAATAGCATGCCATCATTTTTATAGTTACATATTCTGTGAAAAGCAATTTTTTTAAAGGTAAGAATTCTTAAGTAAGTATTATAGGATTAGTAGTAACAGGAATAGATTGTGTCTGTCATGGCTTAAGCTGAGCTAGGGAACCCATCTCTGCTTTCTTTTTATATTTGTTTAGCTTTAGCAGTAACAAGGCACTATTTGTCTAACAGATCCTCAGTAGGTAAGAGCCTACATCCAGCCTATGATATCAGCATTTTCACTTTAAAATTCATTTGATTAATAACTTAGTATTCCTGATGTTGTCTGATATATCTTAGCTCAGTGACTAATATTTATTTTGAAATGCAGGGCACAATAAATCCGGAAAAAAGTTAAGTCCATTAATTTTCTATTAAAGCTCTTCAAAAGAATAGTTCTAATTGAATGATGACAATAGGATTGAGGGAACAAAAGAAAGATAAAAGGTTCTATAATCCTTCTGACCAGGTTTGGCTGCAGATGACCTCTTGTTCTTTCTCTGATTTCTCATTGTTCCACAAGAGCCTGTACAGAACAGAACAAGAATTCTTTAGCCTCTGTCGTGTAGCATTAATAATGCCTCTTATCTCTTATGACATTGACCTAAAAATAAATGGGAGTTAAAGAGTATACAGCACAAGATCAAAAGTATATTTTATGTAATGACAGTCTAACCATCAGATACATTAAAATATTGAATATATACAAATCCTAGGTCAGTAAACAATTTCTGGTATGGAATAATAATAAAACTCTCAATATGTGAGATATGAGTGGGAATTATTGATTAGGCTCAATTAAAAATTAGTCTTCAAGATACAGTTTTTTAAGATTTATATTAAATGACCCTCTTTACTTCTTGTACAATGGCTTGTCTTGAAGTTTATTTCATCTGATATTAATATAGCAACACTAGCTTGCTTATGTTTAATATTTGCATGGGATATATTTTAATATTTTACTTGTGAGTCATTCATGTCTTTACATTTGAAGTGCATCTTATTGAAAGAAATAATTTTACATGAGTTATCATTTTTTGTTTTTAGAGTTTGGGCTGGCAATTTGGAACAATCTGTACATTTTAATTGAATTGTAAATTCAATTTATATTTGATGGAATGTAGTTGTATTTATATTTATAATTTTCCATCCATATCTATTGATTCTTTTTTTATTTTCCCATTTGTCTTTCGTATTTTTATTCTTTTTCTTGAATTGCTGAACTTTTTTTTTAATATTCCACATAAATTCCATTAATGGACTTTCTGCCATATCATTCTGTATCTATTGTATGGTTGCTGTTGGGATTATTTTATGTTTGTTTATCTCAGTATAGGGTTAATATTTTAACACTTTATGCAAAATGTATGAATTTTATAATATTAGTATTTAATTTGCCTCAAATTTGTTGTACCATGGACATACATTTTGCATCTACATGTGTTATAAACATAACCATACAAAGTTACATTTTTGTATTAAATTATAACTTGTATAATAAGGCAATTAAGAGAAGAATAAAAAAGTAAGTCTTTGGCATTTATTCAAAGTATTTATCTAGTCTCAGCCTCTATTTTGGTCCGCTCTATTTGGAGTCTGAAAATTTCTCTTAGCAGCTTTTGTGGTACAGATCTTTTGATGATAAATTGTTTTAGCTTTCATTTTCTGAAAAGATTTTTAATTCACCTTGCTTTATCAAGACAGTTTGATTGGATATAGAATTTTTGTTTTTTGTCTACCATGTGTTTCCTTGTTCACTTTTCCTATAAGCACCTTAAAGATATTGGCCCATTCATTGTGTGCTCTCATTGATATTTTCTGATTCTAGGGAATTCCACCATTATTTGTTTCATTTTTATTTTACCCTGACTGCTTTCAAGATTTATATTTACTTGTCAGCAATTTAATTACAATATGTCTGGGTGTGATGCTCTTTGCATTTGGCCTGCTAAAAAGGGTTCCTGCACATCTCGAGTCTGTGAATTTGTATTTTTCTTCTTCTTTGGGACATCTTTGCCATTACTTCCTCAAATACACATGCACGCACATGCACATACACACACATACACACATATATTCCCCTCTGACATTCTGTCTATCCTAAGAATCTAATTAGCATATTCTGGACCCACTGGGTACAGGCATCAAATTTACTTATTTTTCAATCTGTTTTGCTGCCTGTTTTGTTGCCTGTACTTCATATTTTACAGTTTTTATTGATTGATTAATTGATTTTTAGAAACAAAGTTTTGCTCTGTCTCCCAAGCTCGAGTGCAGCAACATAATCATAGTTCACTGCAGCTTCTGACTCCTGGGCCCAAGTGGTTCTCCCGCCTCAGCCTCTCAAGTAGCTAGAACTATCAGTATGCACCAACACAGCCAGCTAATTTCTTTAAATTTTTGTAGAGATTAGGGTCTCACAATGCTGCCCAGACTCATCTCAAGTTCCTGGGCTCAAGAGATCCTCTCTCCTCAGCTGTCCAAAGCACTGCTATTACAGGTGTGAGCCACTTCACCCGATTGTATACATTCTATTGCTTTGTCTACTAGGTCGTTGAATCTTTCTTTGCCATCTTTAATCTTTTGTTAGTTACATTCAATAAATTTTTACTTTAACTTCTTAGAATTTTCATTTTGTTTTTTTAGTAGCTCTGTTTTTAGTTTTACTTATTAAGATTTGCTTTTCTTAAAGTGTTTGCACATATTTCAGACAACTGGTTTAAAATTCCTGCCTGCTAATTTCTATCTCTGGTTTATCTTGGATTATTTATTTATTAATTTTCCTTCAGTCATATTTTCCTAGTCCATCACATATTTAGTCATTTTTATGTATTACTAGACACTTCGGATGGTATACTGTTCAGGCTTTCATCCCAGATTAGTCAAGACTTTGAGAAAAGGTTATACCTAGGTATGGATATCTTTCATTAATTGTTTGAACTAATATGTTAAAAATAAGGTTGATTAGACTTTAAAATATGGTTTTCAAGAAATTCTGTTACAAGAATTTCATGAAATTTTTTCCTTTAAATACAGAAAATGCTTCTATCCATGTAAGTATATATGCATATATTTACACATATATAACCTTTATAGTAATTAATATTTTATAGCTTTATGTTCAATGTTGATCACGGTAACAACACTTGAATAAAATCAATCCCTGAAATGTAATTCTTTCTTATTTTTGTATAAAATTACTTATAAGTGTACTGGGAAAACTGGGTATCCATGTGTAGAAGAATAAGATTATACCCCCACCTATCATCCTATACAAAAATCAACTTAAAGGAGATAAAATACACAAATTTAAGACTCAAGGGAGTTGGACAATGGGAACACATGAACACAGAGAGGGGAATATCACACACCAGGGCCTGTCAGGGGTGAGGAGTAGGGGAGGGATAGCATTAGGAGAAATACCTAATGTAGATGACAGGTTGATGGGTGCAGTAAGCTACCATCGCACATGTATACCAACATATTTGAACGTTCTGCACATGTACCCCATAACTTAAAGTATAGTTTTAAAAAATTAGAATAAAACATATGAGACTTTTTCAGGCATTCATATAGAAAAGATTTTATAAGACTACAAAAGCACAGGCAACAAAAGAAAAAAAAAGAAAAAAAATAGGATTTTACATCAAACTCAAAAGCTTCTGTATAAAAAAGAAACAACAGAGTGAGAAGACAGTTTAGAGAATGAGAGAAATATTTACAAACTATTCGTTCAACAGGTGTTTAATATTCACAATATCCAATGAACTCAAATATCTCAACACGAAAAAAAAAATCTGATTAAAAAATGGACAAGTTACCTAAACAGACAATTATCAAAAGAAGAAAACAAAAGTATTGTGGGCATTATCCAAAAGACAATAATATAAAATACTGGAGAGGATGCAGCTAAAAGGGAACTCTTAAATACTATTGGTTTGAATGTAAACTAGTACAGCCACTATGGAAAACAGTATGAAGGTTCCTCAAAAAACTAAAAAAAGAATGATCATATGAGCCTGCAATTCCAGCTACTGGGCATTTATCCAAATGAAAAATAAGATCAGTATGTTGAACATCTGCATCACCATGTTCACTGCAGCACTATTCACTGTAGTGAATTAACCTATAGGTGTCCAAAAACAGATAAATTGATGAGAAGAATGTGATATATACAAAATATCATATTGTGTGATATACACAATGGGATACTATTTGGCCATAAAAGATTAAAAGAATGAAAATCTGTCATTCATAACAACATGGATGTAACTGGAGGGCACTATGTGAGTGAAATAAGCCAGGAACAAAAAGTTAAACACTGCATATTCTCACTCCTATGTGGAAGCTAAAAACGTCGGTCTCACAGAAATTAAAAAGTGGAACAGAGGAAGGGTATGGGAAGGGAGGAATAGGGAGAGATGTATTAAGGGGTATATAATTTTAGCTAGATGGAGGGAAATTTTCTAGTGTTCTATACTACTTTAGGATGACTATAGTTGACAATGTTTGATACAGTTTCAGATAACTAGAAGGAAGATGTTCACAAGACAAAGAAATGATAAATGCTGGAGATGCTGGCTCTGCTAATTACCCTGATAATAGCCTACATCAGTAATTGCTGTTAGTGGTCTAGTCACTATACATTTAGTAATATAAAATTACTAATAGTAATTAGTTCTTCAACTAAAATCAAAATGCATACTCCATTAGTATGAACAATTATTACACATCAATTAAAAAATTTTAAATGCCACAGTATTTACTCTTCCTATAGTCTAAGATGAAAGCATAATATTTTCTTCTACCTATAATTAGATATTAGTATTTATTCTCACAAAACCTAGTAAGCTTCCTGGGAAAGTCCCATTTAGACCTCCAAACTACAGAACCTTGAACACATTTCTGCAACCATGGTAATGCGAAGCGGTGGTCCCTTCACATTTATGATATTCATTAGGATCTCTATGATTGGTGCAGATCATCTTTAAAGAAGAAATAAAGTGTTGTGGAGTTTCACTTGTTAATAAACATTATAAGCTCCTTTTTCATACGGGATCTCTTTCCTATTTTTCTTCACATTTGCTTAAATAATGTGTTTTCCCTTCTGCTGCTAATTTATGTTTACAAAAGTTAATCTACTTTCTTTTTTTTTTTCTTTTTGCTTTTTTACCTCTAAAATAAGCGTGAAATTATTTTGAGCTCCTCTAAAGGTTGTTTGTTATGAGATAGAGTAAGGCAAAATCGAAAGAGATGAAAAAAGACAGAGTAATGAGATGTGAAATCCAAACCACTGAAAAGACCTGAAAGTAAAAGATTCACTGTCACCTTTTGTTCTGCTGGCTCCTATGTGTACAGAAGTAGCTGCCCACAGGTAATCCAGAAAACATGGTTGAAACTAATTCACTTTTATATTTTAAAAGTATTTACAATGTTCATTTTTGTTATGTTCTGGCTTAAGATAAAGAAAATAATTTTAAAAACTAAAATTTCAAGTTACCCAGAGAAGATATACGCTATTTTAA